TCTCTCTTTGAGATCCTTTGCACTGCACCATTCATGAAGCTACTACAATGCCAGGCCAAAGCAAGCTCTCATTTTACGCCCCTGTCATATCATATATTAGACTGGTAAGGACAGACACTCTCACTTCATCTTATCTCAAAGGCTGGGAAGTGACTACGCTCAACACTCAACTTCTCAACTCTTTTGTTATTTAACCACTGTTTGCTAAATGATATGATTGAAATCTAGTCATTTCTTAAAACTTACTAGGCTCTCCCATGCTTTTAATGTAAGGGAAGGCTTAGTGAGGGTGATAGAACTTGTGGGTATCATTTCTGTTAATTATCTCTCAGAACTTACTGAGAGGCCCCCTGTTTTAACTGAAGAAGGCATGCAATCTAGTCCACCCAACAGCGACGGAACCTCCTGGCTGAGATGGTTACATTTAAGTTAGAGGAAGGGGAAGATGGAGTGGTACTGAAACCAGCAATAGCAGCGGCCATGATTAAGAAACACTTCCTGGGCCTCAGCAGCGTGGTAACTGCTTCTTCAGTACCACCTTGCCTTTTTTGCAATGAACAGTTTTCCCATCATTTTACGGCAAAGGAAACGAAGGCCCAGAGAGGTCAGATAAAATGCCTAGGTCACAAAGCTCATTTACTGTTCAAAACTACGAATATGGAAGCCTCTGTTTCCATCAGAGAGAAAGGAATGAGAAGTGCAGAGAGAGCTAGGAGAGAGTTAATATTATGGGAAGAATCAGGTAGAATTGCCCTGAATTGCGCCCACAAAAGATGCTGCAAGAAAATATTCTAAACCAGCACTTCAGTTATGTCCTGAGCTCACTTCAGATAAAAGATGCCAGGCTAGAACAGATACCTTTGTTTTGAAGGATTGTTCTTCTGTAGTCAGTCCCTGCTCCCTCAAATTAGTCCCCGAAATAAGCTCACCATGTTTCTCTGTCATTCCACAGCTTGGCAACACTGTTTTCCAACCAGCACAAGCAGTTTGATTTTAAGCAGAGCTTCCATTTGTGTTAATTGCCATCAGTGGAAGAAAACGTACAGAGAAGAGAGAGGGGGTGGTGATGGGGAACTACAGTAAGCCCCCTTCCTGTGGTGCCTGTCTACAGACTCAGTGTGAACCAAGATGCTCTCAAGGGACTCTCTCTCTCCCTCCCCCTTCTCTATCTCTCGGTCTCTGTCTCTCTCTCTCTCCCTTTCCCCTCTCTATCTCTCGGTCTGTCTCTGTCTCTCTCTCCCTCCCCCCTCTCTATCTCTCGGTCTCTGTCTCTCTCTCCCTCCCCCCTCTCTATCTCTCTGTCTGTCTCTGTCTGTCTCTGTCTCTCTCCTCCCTCCCTACTCCCTCTCCAAATAAGTCTTGGAGAAGACTCCAGCAATTGCCTCAGAAATCTAAATCTATGTTATTATTTGAGAAATCTATTGAACAATCATCATTTACGCTTGAAGCCAGATATAGATCCAGGGGAGGTAACCTTGGCTTGAAGCACCGACAGTTGGGAAAAAGGATGAAGCAATGGATTTTCCTAATGAGGCTTCCATGAGCCACCATTTCATGCTGTAGCTGAAAGAAACTCTCCAAGGCTCTTGAGACGCTGAAGAATCTCAGGGTGGCGAGTGGGGGGAGATGCAGATGTTTCATAAAAAGGCTCTAGAGATGTCTGCTACATTCAAATCGTGGGAATTCCCTTCCACCATACATAGAAAAAACAGTATAATTACATGGATGATAAATACGTGTGTGGAGGCATCCGGCACACAAAAAGTCATACACACAGACTGACAGGCTGGATGTCTGATGATGCCAAGGATGAATGAATTTCACAGCCTACTTGGCCTGTGGAAGATGACTTCCTTTATGCAAATGAAGGATAAGGAAAAACACCACTCTGTCATTGCAATTAAGTAATACAACATTAAGTCACTGCACAGTCTTGAATGAGGTGTGGCGTCAGCATGACCTGTCTGTGGGTCATGTCTCTCTTGTGAGGGGAATCCACAGTGGTTTGTGATGGCCAAAGTGACGAAATACAAGATTTACCGGCTGAAAGAGGCCTGGGATGTATTCTGATACCACTTTCTCTAATGTAGTTTATGGCATGGCATAAAGATGATACTATCTGAAGTGGCTGATATGCCTTAAACCTAAGCTAAAAAAAAAAAAATGGAACTAAGAATACATCCACAAAATAGAAAGCCTGTAAGCTTGTTTTTTTTCCTCTTCCTAAAAGCTTATCAAGTTCTTATAGGTTTGTTTTCTCTTTCTCCCTTCCCCCACCCCCACCCCTCCCTCTCTCTCTCTCTCTCTCTCTCTCTCTCTCTCTCTCTCTCTCTCTCACACACACACACACACACACACACACACACCCCTTTCCATCTTTCCTTACAAACTGGAATTCCAGTCACCAAAGGACGCAGTAAAGCATCACGTTACCTTTGTGCTGATCAAACACAGACGAGGTGCTGAAATCCATGGTAGCCTGTCTCATCGTTTACCATCAGAACGGCAAAAAACACTCAGGGCTCTGGAGAGGAGAAAACACCATTTCACACACTGCAGCCAACACGCCAGTCAGCTTCAGCATCGTTGGCTGATGCTCCGGTTGTAGAATTAAGTGTGAGATTGATTGCTCTGCAGGTCGGTGCCTTCAAGGCCAGCTTTGAAAAGACATAAAAAACACTCTTCCTATAAAAACTGCAGGGGAGGAAGAGTTACTCTCAGAGCCCCATTCATCATCTATACTCATGTGTGAGTATTATATATCCTTCCCAGAAACAGACAGACCAAACATCCCAAACCCTAAAATAAGACAGGCTTCATGGGGGTGCCTGCCTTGGATCTGGGCCAGGAAAATGCTGCAGACCCCAGAGCTTCGGCCGCAGCGGCGGCTGAAAGGTCCCTTTAAACCAATAGAAATCTCAATGAGTGAGATTCACAGGGCCAGACGGAGCATGTGCAAAGCTGCCAGCGCAGACTGCGTACGGGCTGTTTGTTCTTGGTGGAGTGAGAACAGCATTTGGGTCATGTGAGCAGAAACCGGGCCATCTCAATGGAATAGGATGTAAATATTGTAGAAGGAGGCTGCGGGCCACGTGCCCTGCTGAGCGTTATGCACTGCTGCTGCATTTTTTTTCAGGCTCCCTGCAGTGGCCTCCTCCGGTCAGAGAGACTTTGGGGGTGGGGAGTGGCATTTGAAAGGTTGTAGGTCGGTTCAAATATCTGTGCCAACTAAATCAAAACAGCCTGCACAAAACAGTCACAAGGCTCTGTGTGTTACTGCATTCTGCATGAAACCTGATAAGTCACCAGATGTACGGCTTTGAGACGCAGCCAAGCAAATTCATCTGCTAGGGTCAAAAACCTGAGGGGGAAACGTTGCTCTCATTTGCATAAAATGGCACTATCTATTGCTGGGGAAAACTTCTCTAGAGTTCATTTGTTTGTGTTTTTATAAAATGACATTTCATTTGTGGTTTTGGCTTTGTATCTATGTGTGTGCACATATGTGTGTGCCCCTGTGAGTGTGCACATATGTGTGTGCCCCTGTGAGTGTATAGACCAGAGGTCAACATCAGGAATCTCTTTTCAGATGCACCTTCCTTGTTTTTCTAGAGAGTCTCTCCCTGACACCAGGCCTTGTTCAGGTGCCTAGGCTGGCTGGCCCAGGTTTCTGTCTTCCAAGTGCCTGGATGGTGAGTGATATCATCTGGCTTTTTGTATCTCACTGGTAATGGCAACTCCCTTTTCTTTTTAACTAACAGATAATTGATTTTGGAAATAAATGTAGGAAATATTTTTTTTCTCTCCGTATGGCTGTATTGATACTATTCTTTTTTGTGATACAGGGATTAAACCCAAACTTTATATACTAGTGGTCAACCACTGAACCATACTCTTAGCTTTTACATTTGTTTTGATACGGGATGATCTAATCTATTTTCTGTGTTCTTTTTACTCATATTTTCTATGTGCCTGTCATTTGTTTTTCATGGAAAAAATGGAAGGGCCTCACATCCCAGTGACAATGCAACCACTTACTCGCTGGTCACATCACAGTCACTCAATGAAGCTAGCTCTCACTCACCAGCGCTATTATTCACTTCACAGAACTATGACTCAGCAGTACTGCTACTATGACTCAGCAGTACTGTTACTATGACTCAGCAGTATTGTTACTATGACTCAGCAGTACTATTATTTACCCAACAAGGTTATTCATCACTACCCTTTCCCACATGGGCTCCTTCCTTCAAAATACTTTGCATTATCTGACTTAAAAATACAAGCAGAGGCTGGAGAGAGAACTCAGTGGATCAAGTTCTTGTTTTAGCATTTTCAGAGTCCAGGATACCACGGCAGTTTGACTGTAATCTCAGTGCTGGGGAGGTGGAGACAGGATTTCAGGAGCAAGCTGGTTGGCCAGTCTATCAGTGAGCTCTGGTTCCAAGTGAGAGACTGTGCCTCAACAAATAAAGTGGTGAACAATCAAGAAAGACACTCATGTCCACTCTGGTCCCTACACATGCACGCAGAAACGGTCACCCACACATACATATACCCCCACAAGCAAACACACACTTATATGCATACAGAGGAGAAATACAACCCATTGTTGGCAGATGAGCTAGGTGATGCAGGATAGTGGTCCTGAGAGAAGAACAACAGCTGAAGTCAGCTGTCTGATCCTCCAGCCGGTTGCCTGGAGAGTTTCCCAGACTGCTGTATGGAGTGGGTGTGGGCTCAGTGGTTTGTAGAATGCCACATGAAAAGATATACATGTTCTAATCTCCAGAACCCGGGAACATGACCTTGTTGGCAAACGAAGTCTTTTCAGCTATAATGAAGTAAAGGAACTCTATTTGAAATGCATCTCAGTGGTTTGTATCATTCAGAGGAACACTCAGAGGGAAGAGGGGGAGAACATGGAACAACACAACCTCTAGCCATCCGTTACTTGTAGCCACCAAGAGCTGGAAGAAGTTAGGAATCCATTGTCTCCTAAAACCTAGAGGAGGAGCTGGGTTCTGTCAAGTTCATTTTCAACTTTGAGTTTCTAGACTCTGAAATAGTAAGTTTTGGTTGGTTGTTCGAAGGCACCAAGTTTGTGTTCATTTATTTTACAGCAGCTTCCAGAAATTAATGCAGAGAAGGACTCTCAAAATAAAATCTCCCCGGTTAATAGATTTCTATGAAAGCATTTATCATGACCCAAACAAAAGCAGTATGTATGGTTGTTTGTTTGTAAGGGACTCATTCTGAAGAAAGGCAGGTAGGCAGACTGAAAGGCATGTGGGTTTCAGTGTGTTATGTAAGTGTGGCTTGGACAAACTTCATGATTTTTTGGAGCTCTGCATTTTAATCTGTTTCATGGGAGCTAATTTCTTGTGAGAATTCACAGTTATCATTCAGTGGCTTTTCTAAAAAGGTTAGATTTTTAAAAATTGTGTTTTCTAGTTCATTTTTAGTAAGGATGCAATATCCTACTGCAGTCAAGATACAGAATATTTCTATCACTTTTAAAGTTCTCTGGTGCTCCTTGCAGGGCTCCTCTGGGGCTCCTAGCCCCTCTTCTGGCAAGCAAATACTCACAACCTAAGGGAGAAATAAAGCCAGTGGACAGCCAAGCAACATAACACTTAATAGCAGAAAAACAACATATGTTCTAAAGGACATTTAAAATTTTTGTACATTTTGCTTTGTACTTTTTTGTAGTATATCTTTATTATAACATATAATATATTTTATACTAACACTTTAATTTATGTATATCATGTACTTTGATTATATTCACTCTTATTCTTTCTCTTGCTCCTCCTCTTCTCACTTGATTTCTCTTTCTCTTTCTTTCTCCTCCTCCTCCTCCTCCTCTTCCTCCTCCCCTTCCTCCTTCTTCTCTCTCTCTCTCTCTCTCTCTCTCTCTCTCTCATACACACACAAGCACAGAGACATATACAAATGCACAGATATACACACATGCACACATACATACATGCATACATACATGCACACGCACCCTACAGATGAGAGGAAGAAAGGTGGTGTTTGTCTTTCTCAGTCTTATTTCATTGATCTCAAGCACCTTCTGTAATAGATGGATTTTAGTACATGGTGCTGAGTTAAAGAAATCAGACAGAAAACACTACATACTGAGATCTCTTCTTTGTAGACTTAGATTTTTCAAAATCTACTTTAGTTATGGTTCTTTAACGCTTCAACTTCCCTTCTAGCCCACCACCCAGCAAGAGATGAGGGAAAAGAAAGGTTAATAGGAAATGGAGGTTATGGACCTATTTAGAAATAGTTTTTTGGCACTATTCCAATCTTTGTTGTCAACAGTCCAGTCCACTAGCAAATGCCAAACATGAATCAACAGTGGCTCCATCCAGAAGAAACTATGAGGCTCTACCAGTCAGCATAAGTCCTTGGAAGTGGCAGGGAGCAGCCAGGATACCAAAAAAAAAAAAATTTCTCTGGTCTTTTTCTCTCTATTCAGTCATGACAAACAATGATCAGCAAAGAAAGCAAGGCGAACCAATGCAAGTGTCTTCCACTGTCTGATTGGTCATACTTATACTCTTTCCAAACATCATGTGTCCTCTCAGTTGTCTGCTACAGCAAAATATCACATGCCCTTTCACCAGACAGTTTCCAGAAAACGACCACATGTGTGTTCTCAGCAAAACATCTTCTCATAAGACAGTTTTCAGAAAAGCATCATATGACACAACTGAGTCTCCAAAGAAATCAGAAATTCCGGCTTTACTTCATTAAGGCACTCTTGATAAATAAATAAATAAATAAATAAATAAATAAAAATAAATTTAAAAAATTAAAATAAAATACAGTCAGAGATTTCATGAGTATCTTCCAGAGAGAGGGATAAGCTACACGGGGCATGCTGAGGGTTTGTGGTGCTAGAATCAGTCAACAGTCATCGAGACTGTGGTGAGGGGAACACACCTTTTATTCATTTGCTCACAGGACCCATCACTTCAAAGGGTGGATGTACAAAAATTACACTTTAATAGACCGGAGAAAATAAACAATATAACCTTCTGTAGCTTAACTCATAATGTCAACCTAACTTTCAAAGCAAGTTTGTTAAAAGTAGAAATAATCGGAATGAATAGGTTTTTTAAATGAGCAAATGATTTTAGTCAGATGTTTATAGACTATAGGATATGTTTATAGTTGGCAAACTAACTTTACAATGGTTACAGCTGTCCTGGTCTATGGCTTTTCACACCAGTTTGACCTTGCCTCAGTTCGTCAGTTCCATGTGCATTGAGGTAAGCCTGTTGCTGCAGGTTTAGGTGTTGCTACACGCTTTATTGCTATAACTGTGTCTAAACTGTGTCCTTGTTTTAAGAACCGATTCTGAAGATAAGCAAATGACACTCTGCATGTAATCTCATCACTCAGGAGTTGGAAGCAGGAGGTTCAGGAATTCAGGGTCGTTCTTGGATACATAGTGATTCCAGATCACTCTCAGCTACCTCAGACTCTATAAAAGTAGAACAAACA